GTGACCACGAACCGACAAGTCATACCTCAAGCCTCGGATTGCTCCCAACCCCCTGCCTCCACCCGGTTGCCTACTTTAACCAAGCCCCGGACCACCCAGCAGTCTTGGCGCACAGGGATGACATCAGCCCTAACCTCTTGCTCACTTCTGAGCTTCTCCCCCCTTAAGAAAAAAGGTCTGTTGTTCTCTTGGAGTTCAAGAGGCATCCTCTTCACCGTCTCCTCTGTTTTTGCTAGCTAGTTAGCTCTTACAAGAAGGAGCACAAGCCAAGTTCAGCTCCATGCTCAGCTCTATCATCTCCTCTTTAAGACACCTCACCTCTTTGAGGCCATTCAGAAGAGCTAGCACGCTTCACCTCTAGACGTCCCCCCCCCCCCTTTTTTGCAATTGTCTCTTCAAACTCATCATACTTATTTAACTCACCAAACCTTACCAAGCCGAGTGCAGGTTTTGAAACCCCATGAGTCACCTTGGCCAACAATCTTGACGTGCGGATGCGTCCAAACTGCTGGACCATTTCTCCAGGAGATAACTTATGCTACAACACTCTCCGCTCGACGATCTCAATGTGGAAAGATCCACAAAGCTGTCCCACTCATCATAGTTGTAGAAGAAATCATCCTCATACTGCATCTGCAACCTTGCTCGAGCCCAAGCCTCTGCCATTGCAAGCTTCTCCCTCATCTTGATCAGCTCACACTTGAGGCGGCAAAACAAGTCCAGGTCCTGAGGAACAACAATGGAATACACCTTTCCTGGGTACCTGTCTCGAAACCTGTGAAAGTACAGTGGACGATGTGGTGTTTCAGATCGCAGTGGAATGATAACTTGATGAAAGCAACAAAACCATCGAGCTCGCTCTTTGGGGATCAATTATCATCTCCTCCTTTGAAGCAATGAGCAGCAGGCCTTGATTGCATCCAGAAGTACTAGAGATAGTCTGCAAAAGCAAGTTTGACACCAGTTATTTTGGCAACACAGAAGAAAAAGAAGAAAAATAAACTCAAGTTTCAAAATTTATAGAGATCCATACAATCCAAATCAAGATCAATCTTCCACGAACTTAATGCCACTTTCAGCACCTCCAAGCTCTGCCGAAAAACATAGCCACGGTATGCCACAATCGTTCGCTTGAAAATCTGAAGATGTCAATCGAAGCATGCAAGCAAAAACATGAAGTAAAGAAGCGCAGCTGGACAACAAAGGAGATGAACTGAGTGAGGCCAAGAACACATATAAGGACTGACTGTAAGCATGTGAGGCTTTGCACGGTTTTCTCCTCCGTGCGTGGCTTCATGTGCGAAGAGTTTGGTGTGGTAAGGTATGTTGCGGAGCAGCCAGAAGCCCAGGGTGAATATAAGTACATGAGGCCTTGTGAGGTTTTACCACCGCCCGAGGACTCCTGTGCATGGGCCCCGGGCGAGAGTCATTTGCGAAAGTGTTCTGCATGAAACTGGTGCCCTGAGGCTTCTGGCCGTGTCGCCCCATGAAGAGCATTTTTTATATAATTGGTGTAGAGTGTGGTTTATTTTTGCATATTGAGTGTATCAATATCTTTTAGTTAGCAGATTATATTGAAGAACTGAAGACTACCTACAGTTAAGTGCATGCAGCAACAGATTATATAAAAAATGAATGCAGAGAATAACAAATCAGGATTTCTAGGAAGTTCGTGCGTAATAATAATAATAATCATAAAAACCTGATGTTCAGCCAGTTAGAAGATTGTCTGAAAATTATGCATGATTCTTCAGCTCTTGAGCAACTGATTGCTGCTGGCTCACTTTCTATATATATCAAAGAAACAATAAACATCTAAGCTGCTGCAGTTAAGCTGTGACATTGTAAAGTTTAAAAAGGAAAAGAATTAGAAAAAGAAAAAACAGAAAACACGAGTTTTTTACTGCTACAGTTAAGTACTAACAAATCGGGATTTCTAGGGTATGCGTGCGGCGCTAGGGTTTGTGTGGTGTGTGTGCAACAATCTCATGCAGTTTCAAACATGTTTCTACCGGAGAGAGGGATCGCCAACAGGAAAACACCAACCTGGGTCTCTGCAAAACTCGAGTCGCTCGCTGACCCAGCTGTAGGTAAGGCCACCACGGCTCGCTACAAATCTCCACATACACCTGTAGCTGGTGATGAACCGGTGAGTTTAGGGAGGCTGATATACCGCGTGAGAGACTCAGCTGAGAGCAGATCCCTTTCTTTGGGAAAACAAGCCCATGAAGCTGTGCTCAAGAGTGATGAGCACAAAAGCAACATCTACTTGTTGACGGGATTGATCGATATGTACTGCAAGTGTGGCGAGCTTGAGGAGGCTCGCAAGATTTTCGACTCCATGGGAACCCGGAGTGTTGTGTCCTACAACGCGATCATCAAGGGCTGCGGCTCGAACGGGCAAGCTGAACTTGCTCTGGAGTACTACTCTGCCCTGAGAGCTTGTACCACCATTCAACCCAACGATCGGACACATGTCGCGGTGATCAGCGCCTGCTCCAGACTTGCTACCGAATCCAGCGAGAAGAGGGAGAGAGCTCTGCGCATCGGGATGGAGATCCATTCAATGCTGAGCAAGGAGAAGAAACAGGTAGATCTGTTCGTGGCGACTTGCCTGGTCGACATGTACTGCAAGTGTGGCGAGCTTGAGGAGGCTCGCAAGATTTTCCACTCCATGGGAACTCGGAGTGTTGTGTCCTACAACGCGATCATCCACGGCTGCGGCTCGAACGGGCAAGCTGAACTTGCTCTGGAGTACTACTCTGCCCTGAGAGCTGATAACACCATTCAACCTGACGATTGGACACATGTCGCGGTGATCAGCGCCTGCTCCACACTTGCTACTGCCAGCGAGAAGAGGGAGAGAGCTCTACGCATCGGGATGCAAGTCCATTCAGTACTGAGCAAGGAGAAGAAACATCTAGGTCTGTTCGTGGCGAATTGCCTGGTAGACATGTACTGCAAGTGTGGCGAGCTTGAGGAGGCTCGCAAGATTTTCCACTCCATGGGAACTCGGAGTGTTGTGTCCTACACCGCGATCATCCAGGGGTGCAACACGAACGGGCGAGCTGAACTTGCTCTAGAGTACTACTCTGCCCTGAGAGCTTGTACCACCATTCAACCCAACGATCGGACACATGTCGCGGTGATCAGCGCCTGCTCCACACTTGCTACCGAATCCAGCGAGAAGAGGGAGAGAGCTCTACGCATCGGGATGGAAGTCCATTCAGTACTGAGCAAGGAGAAGAAACATCTAGGTCTGTACATGGCGACTTGCCTGGTAGACATGTACTGCAAGTGTGGCGAGCTTGAGGAGGCTTGCAAGATTTTCCACTCCATGGGAACTCGGAGTGTTGTGTCCTACACCGCGATCATCCAGGGGTGCAACACGAACGGGCGAGCTGAACTTGCTCTGGAGTACTACTCTGCCCTGAGAGCTGATAACACCATTCAACCCGACGATCGGACTCATGTCGTGGTGATCAGCGCCTGCTCCACACTTGCTACCGAATCCAGCGAGAAGAGGGAGAGAGCTCTATGCATCGGGATGGAGATCCATTCAATGCTGAGCAAGGAGAAGAAACAGCTAGCTCTGTTCGTGGCGAATTGCCTGGTAGACATGTACTGCAAGTGTGGCGAGCTTGAGGAGGCTCGCAAGATTTTCCACTCCATGGGAACTCGGAGTGTTGTGTCCTACACCGCGATCATCCAGGGGTGCAACACGAACGGGCGAGCTGAACTTGCTCTGGAGTACTACTCTGCCCTGAGAGCTGATAACACCATTCAACCCGACGATCGGACTCATGTCGTGGTGATCAGCGCCTGCTCCACACTTGCTACCGAATCCAGCGAGAAGAGGGAGAGAGCTCTACGCATCGGGATGGAGATCCATTCAATGCTGAGCAAGGAGAAGAAACAGCTAGATCTGTTCGTGGCGACTTGCCTGGTAGACATGTACTGCAAGTGTGGCGAGCTTGAGGAGGCTCGCAAGATTTTCCACTCCATGGGAACTCGGAGTGTTGTCTCCTACACCGCAATCATCCAGGGCTGCAACATGAACGGGCGAGGTGAACTTGCTCTGGAGTACTACTCTGCCCTGAGAGCTGATAACACCATTCAACCCGACGATCGGACTCATGTCGCGGTGATCAGTGCCTGCTCCACACTTGCTACCGAATCCAGCGAGAAGAGGGAGAGAGCTCTACGCATCGGGATGGAGATCCATTCAATGCTGAGCAAGGAGAAGAAACAGCTAGATCTATTCGTGGCGAATTGCCTGGTAGACATGTATTGCAAGTGTGGCGAGCTTGAGGAGGCTCGCAAGATTTTCAACTCCATGGGAACTCGGAGTGTTGTGTCCTACACTGCGATCATCCAGGGCTGCAACACGAACGGGCAAGCTGAACTTGCTCTGGAGTATTACTCTGCCCTGAGAGCTGATAACACCGTTCAAGCTGATGCTTGCACCTACACCTGTGTCCTTGTTGCTTGCGGGAGTGTGATGGCGATCAAGCTCGGGAGGGAGATTCACCAGCTGGCGAAGCATAAAGGGCTGCTGAAAAACAATCCAGTTCTGGGCTCCAGCCTGGTGAGCTTCTACGGCAAATGTGGCGATGTTGATTCTGCTCAGGAAGCGTTTGACGAGTGCCGAGCTCGGGACGACACGGGTCTCTGGAACTCTCTCATACAGGCTTACACTCTCCAGGGCCGATCGATCGAGGCCTTGGAGCGTTTCTATTCCATGACTCAGGAGGAGGGCTGTAAAGCTGACGATGTGAGTTTTGTTTCGGTGTTGAACGCTTGCAGCCATGGTGGTCTGGTCGGGAAAGGAAGGCAGCTTCTGGATGAAATGCCCAAGCAGTATGGAGTCAAGCCACGTCTGGAGCATTATGTGTGCCTGATCGATATGCTCGGGCGAGCTAACCTCCTCGACGAAGCTGTGAGAGTTCTCAGAGCCATGCCTTTTGAACCGGATGCAGTGGTTTGGACGTCCCTGCTCGGAGCCTGCCGGAAGTGGAAGAATTACACGATCGGCAAACTCGCGTTTGAGCGTCTTGTGGAGATGGATCCCAAGAGCGGCACGCCCTACGCATTGATGGCCAATATATTTGGAAACCTGGGGATGCTCAGTGAAAGGGCCGCTGTTGTGGAGAGAATGAGAGGTGAAGGCAGCTTCAGGGAGCCCGGGAGAAGCTGGTGGACGGATGTTTGCTCAGGAAAAGTGCATTCTTTTTCTGTCGAGGATAGGAGTCACTCACAGAGCGACGAGATTGCGGCCAAGCTCAAGCAATTGTTGCTGAGAATGAAAGAGGAGGGGTATGCGAGCGATGTGATCAACGTTCTAAAAGACATACCCGAGGAAGAGAAAGAGGATCACCTGTGCGGCCACAGTGAGAAGCTTGCGCTGGGGTGTGCTCTGGTGAACTCGCACCAGAAGGAGACCATCAGAATTGTGAAAAATCTCCGAGTTTGTGACGATTGCCATGCGGCCACTGCTCTCATCTCTAAGCTGGAAAAAAGGCTAATCATCTGCAAAGATGCCAGTCGGGTTCATGTGTTCCAGGATGGCAGATGTTCCTGTGACAACTACTTTTGAAAACATGTCAGTGCTCTTTCTTGCAGTTATCCCTGGTTTTAAACCCTCTGTGAGTCAAGCAGAAACATGGGCCGCTGAGTGAGCAAAGTACTGCTGTCAACCTGAACTTCACGGAGAAAAAATTAACATTTAAAGTTAAAACTATGCAAAAGGAGGATGACACGTTGTCTTAAATTTAAATTTCTTTTTGGTAGCCAGGAATGCTGTCAGTCGCATGGGGGCTTGGTGGGGAGCTGGGTTCTGAGGTGACTGACGCAAAACATGTACGTGCCTGCATGCCCTTTGCGCGTGCACTAAGTAAGCATGTGGTGGAGGACATAGGTGCCCCAAAACGGAGTGCCCAGATTCAGATAATAAGCCTTAGTATGAACCCAAACTCTTTGCTGATAGCAAGTACCGCCTCATGTTCCGGGAGCAAGGTGATGGTGGCTTGCGGCATGACCAACTTTGGGTTTGTGCTCCTAGAGCACGTTGAAGACGTGTGGAAGCTGGTGACGATGGCATTTGTTTCTTGCAACGTACTCACTAGCTCCTCGGCGACGTCTTCCTTCCAGATTTTTTGAGCTTGTCATGAGTGGTGATCTGCTTGCTCTCTCCTGTGACGACTTCTTCCAGCCTCTGGTGCCCAACCTCAAGGCTCTCTTGTGGATGGAGCTAGCCCTACACAGTGTGTGTGTGTGTGTCAACCAGCAGATGCACAAATCGTTGAGAATTAGCAACAAGTGTGTATCATAGGCTTAGTATGTAGTGTACTAGTGTACATGTACATGTGTTTCAGCTAAATATAATGGGCCAAATACACCGAAGAAGTGTGTATAAGAAGAGTAGAAACAAATTAAGAAATGTAAATTAAGAAGTGCAAAAGAGATGAAAATAAAAATTGTCCATCCTCATCAGTTTGCTGAAATTAAGTTGGATTCAATTCTTCCAGCTCCAAATATTGTGTGATTGAGTTGTAAGTTAATTAATAGTAGAAAATAAGAAAAAAAACAAACATTGAAAAAATAGTGTTTGATAATATCTTCTTTGCTTTTAGTTTTTTATTTTCGAAAGAAAATTAGTGGGGGAGTGCTGGTAAAGATATCTTTGCCGTTCATTGGTGGTTAATTAAATGAGCATGTTTAGAGATGTTTATAAGAGTTTAGCTC